CAGTCAAGACGACTAGAGCCCCAGAAAAAACTGTGATGACAACCTCATGAGACACCCTGAGCCAGATCCACTCAACTAAGCTACTTCCAAATTCTTGACCCTCAGAAACTGTGAGATAATAAATTAATCATTTTTAAGCCACCAAGATCTAGGGTATTATTTGTTTTGCAGCAATAGATACCTCATACACACACATAAAACTATATAAGCATCTTAATAGACAAGACAAAAATGGTTAAAAATTTAATATCTACTCATGATTTTAAAATGCACTTAACAAACTAGGACAGAAATGTCACATTTATTGGTGAGACATTAGAAGCATACCATTTGCAATCAAGCTGGTTTTAAGGATGCTCACTGTCACCATTTCTATTCAACATTATAGTGGAGGTTTTAGCCAATGCAGGTAAGATTTTTTTAAATAGAAAAATAAGTAAATAATGGTTAAAAGTTTTAATAAGAAGAAGCAAATTATTGGAATTATTGCCAGATGTCAGATAATGATGTAAAAATCAATTGCACTCTGATATACTGGTAATAAACAATTAGAAACTATAATTTTTATTTTATTTTATTTCTGAAACAGAGTCTTGCTCTGTTGCCCAAGCTAGAGTGCCGTGGCATCAGCCTAGCTCACAGCAACCTCAAACTCCTGGGCTTAAGCGATCCTTCTGCCTCAGCCTCCCAAAGAGCTGGGACTACAGGCATGCGCCACCATGCCTGGCTAATTTTTTCTATATATATTTTTAGTTGTCCAGATAATTTCTTTCTATTTTTAGTAGAGATGGGGTCTCGCTTTTGCTCAGGCTGGTCTCGAATTCCTGGCCTCGAGCAACCCTTCCGCCTCGGCCTCCCAGAGTAAAACTATAATTTTTAAAAAGATATTATCTACAATAGCAACAACAAATCAAAAAAGTAGGCAGATATCTTGGAATAAATCTAACAAAATGTAGGCAAGATTTTTATGAAAAAAATTGTGAAACATCATTGAAAGATTACCAAGGACCTAAATAAACGGAAAAATGAACATGTTTACTGGCAAGAACACTAAGTATTATAAAAACTGCAAATTCTTCCCCAAATTAGTTTATAAATTCACTGCAATTCCTATCAAAATCCCAGCAGGGTTTCTCAGTGGAGTGTGGCATGCTGACCCTGAAATGTGCTAGAATTGCCAAGGGCCAGGAATAGAACAAGGTAGAGAGGTAATTTCATACCAAAAAGTATTAAAGCTCCAATAATGAAGGCCGTAAGTATGATATGGGACTACACAGACCAATGATTTAGGCTGCAGAACCCAGAAACCAACCCCTGCATTTACGGAAACTGGACAAGTGACAGAGGTGGCATTTCAAATCCGTGGGGAAAAGATGGACTATTTTAATAAATGTTCTGGGACAACAGGATAAACATTTGGAAAAAATATAATTGGTTCCCTACATCACACCATATACAAAAATAAATTCCATGTGGATGAAAGACCTAAAGGTGAAAATCAAAACTTTTAGAAGAAAACAGAGGAGACTACATTTATGACCTGAGAGTAGGAAGAATTCCATAAACAAAAAGTTTTTAAAAGTACAAACCATAGTTACATTGCTAAATTTGACTAGATTAAAAGGAAAACTTCTGTTCAACAACAAGCTTAAGCAAAATGAAAGAAGCCACAAACTGAAAAAAGGTAATTGCAAAGCATATAACTTGTGGAAGATTAGTGTCTAGAATAAAGAATTTCTACAAATCAATAAGAAAAAGACAGAATGCCCCATTATAAATTGGTCAATGTATATGCACAGATAATTCTCAGAAGAAATCTGAATGTTCAACAAGTATTTAAAAATATTCAACATCACTACTTATTGGGGAAATATAAAACAACAATGAGATACCATTTCACATCTATCAGATTGACAAAAATTAAAAATTCCACCATTATCAAAAGTTGGGAAGAATGTGGAGTAACGAGGAATAAAAAGAAAAGAAAAAATACTAGGAATGAATGTTCATCAACAAAAAAACAGATAAATCATGGTATATTCATTCAATCAAGTATTATATAGCTATTTAAATGAATGAACTAGAGCCAAATGCAATCATGGCTAAATTTCACAAGTTATTTTAGCTCAGAAAAAAAGTCTAAAAACACTGTATACCGAATAACATCATTTATATAAAACGTGAAAACCTACAAAGCATTACTTCCGCTTGTTCACGGTTGTAGACACATGCAGTAAGAGCATAAAAATGTACATAGAGATGTAAAACACCACAGTTTGTAAGTAGGTTACTCGTAAGGAGAGGAGAGGAATGAAATGAGGGAAGAGATATACACAGGAGACTTCAACATTACCTGTCATATTCTATTCTGTTTAAAAAAAAATCTGAAGCAAATGCAGCAAAGTACAAAGATTTTATAAAGCTGGCTGAGGTATCCAAAGTTGTCCTACACGCTTTTGTGAATGTCTGAAGATAATGGCCAGGGGTTTGGGAGAGATGTCATAGTTGGAGGAGATGCCAAAATATAAACCGCGTCGAAGCGTGTACTTATTTATCCACTGCTGTATGCCTCCACTTGGAAGAGTGCCTGGTACAAAGTAGGTACTAAACAAATATTTGCTGACTGAGTGAGCATATGCAAAGGCACTGAGAAACGTTAGAATACAGTGCGTTCTGAAAGCGCTGTCATAACAGCTAACTTCCATTGAGTCCCACAGGCACCAGCCACTGACTTAACTATTGGACATGGATTATCTCATTTTTTTCCTTGCGACAATGTACAGACCATTATTATCCTCACGCTACAGGTGGGGAAAAACAGGCTTACAGAGCTAGGTAGCTGCCTGAGAGTGTAGTGGTTACAATTAGAATCTACAGGCTATCAAAAAAAGTCCGGAGTTTATGCTATAAATCATTTCAAAATTTGGCAGTGGAAACAATGTCTAGTTAAAGTGTGGTTGAGACAAGTTCTGGTCAAGGAGCTCACAGTGCAGGAAGCACATTAAACAGATACTCTAGAGTGACACTCTAGACCGAAGGGTGACCAGGACCAGTGGAGGTGTGTGCCCAGGGGTCCCATAGGGGAGGACACAGCAGGAAACACTTTAGTCTGCTGGGCAAGTGGGGAGGCTTTACGAAGGAGGAGACATTTGAACTTGGCCTTGAAGGAGAAGGGTACCTACAAATGCCAGGATCCAGTGCTGTCTGCTCCACATCCACGTGGTGGTGTTGGGAGGGGCCACTGCTCTGGACTGTGAGCACAAAGCCTGACCACACAGGGCTGAGACGCCCACAGGTGAAGACAGACTGATCTGAATGTAACCTCCAGTTTAAGAAAATTTGTTCTTGGCTTTATATACAGACAAAAAATCAACTCAAAGCTCTTTAGCAATCATGATGCCAGCAACAATCATTCATCCTTTAAGAATATTATTAATACCTAATATTTATTAAGCATGTACTATATACAGGACATGGGGCTAAGTTATTTCCTTTATTGTCTTTATTTCTCACAACAACTCTATGAGGCAGGTACTATTTTATCCCTTT